GTGGATTTTGTGGGATTCGAGAACAAGAAATATATATAACTAAGACTAAAAAGAATCCAACCTCACCTCTTAGGGCAGTTCCACCGGAAGTGGAATAGCCCAGCACCCTGTCAAACTACTCTAGCCTGCAAAATAGCCTGACAACCAGCCCAAGCCAGGCAACAGACCAGCCCATTTCAGACAAACCTAGAGGCCGCCTTATTTGGCTGTTGCATGCAGCACACTCGCAACTGGGCGTGAGTAAGAGACAAGGGTTCAAGTGGCGGGGCCCGCTTGTCAGCCCGCTTGTGTTCACCCAGATTAGAGCTACGTGGCCCTCCTCAGTGTCGTTGGATTTCCAACGACTAGTTTTTGTAGATCGTTGGATTTCCAACAGTAAAAAAAAAATTAAATTTGACTTTTAAAATGGACCGTTCGATCACAAATCAACGGTCCACGTTTTTTCACCAAAAATAAAAATAAAACAAAAAAAAGGCCTAATGGTCAGAATTTTGACCGTTGGCCACATGGCAGCTTGTTGGCTGTTGGATTTGAATATTTTTCAAATCCAACCGTCCAGATTCATTAACAACATTAAAATTTATTAAAAATTAATAAAAAATTATGATTTTTTTTTTAAATACAGAAAAAATTTTAAAAATTAATTTTTTTTTTTTATAAATACCTAACCCTCATCTTCCACCTTACACCACATTTCAATATTTTCTACACTTTCTATATTTGAATATTTTGTACACTTTGAGAGAAAAAAATGACTTTGTGGAAGCTCATTAAAGATGTTACGTTGTGTGAATGTTGGGTTCACACTACTCATGACCCGATTACGGGTAATGAGATGGATGAGTGAGAAATGTGGAGTAAAATTACGAAAGCGTTTTGCGATGTACATGGAAAAAAAATGCCAGATCTAGTCAAGGTCTTCAAAGTCGTTGGAAAAAACTCAACGCATCCTTTACTTGTTGGAAAAATATCATCTCTCATGTTTCTGGTAATCTGCGTAGTGAGACATGTTTAGCAGATCAGGTAACAATATTTTTATTTATTTATATGCATTCCACCCACATCAATATTTTAATTTATTTAATTTCTTATGTAATTTTTATGTAATTTCTTATGCAATTTTTATGTAATTTTTATGTAATTTTTATGTAATTTATATGCATTCCGCGTGCATCAATATTTTAATTTATTTATTTGTGTTACACCCGTATTTTTTAATACTATCTTGTCCCACATTTTTATAGACACTAAAGCACAAGCATTCTATAATGCAAAGAGCCATAACAAATCATTCAACAAATGGGAATGTTGGCAAGTTGTCAAAGATTGCCTTAGATACAAAATTGTGGCAACCGATCCAGAAGTTGTCATGCACGGTATGGGTCTACACAGTTCGCCAAAAGCAGACACGGCCGAACAAGAAGCCAACACATTTGAAGACACGGAAGGGACACCTGAAGAAGTGCTAGAGACCTAACCGATTCGTTAGTCCCTCAGGCCTTAAGGTAAAAAGGCAACAAAGAGAAAAGGTAGTTTTTCCAAAAATGACTACACTAAATATATGGAGGAACTTGCTCGCTAAGGTGAACTGAACATGGCGTGAGAAAAGGCTAGAGATGAGGAAAAAACTACTGCTATGGCAACAATAATAGTAGCTACTGAGGCTCGTGATGTGGCGGCTGAGAGACAAAGAAATAGTTAATCGAGAGAACAAGATGATTAGAGAAGCACTTCATCGAGAGAATAAGATGCTTAGAGAAGAAATGATGGCTCAAGCAAATCGTGACACTGTGAACAAGTCTCTAGTAGGACTGTCTCCAAATTCAAAATATTTTTGGACATCGGAAAAAAGAGATATCGTGCAAAGGAGGCGTGCAAGAGATGCCGAAACAAGTCGAGGGGGTTCTAGCTACAGAAATCCTAGCAACGAAGATCCTAGCACCACGTATCCTAAATCCACATACTTTGTATAATTTCGTATTTATTTGTAGTACTTTATTTAATTTGTTATGTAATTTCTTATTATTTTTAGAACTTTATTTAATTTCTTATGTAATTTCTTATTTATTTTTAAAACTTTATTTAATTTCTTATGTAATTTTTATGTAATTTCTTATTTGTTTTTAGAACTTTATTTAATTTCTTATTTATTTTTTGTACTTTATTTAAACACATCAAATAAGATTACATAAACTCACCAAATAAACTTAAAAAAAAAAACACCAAATAAAATTACATAACCTCACCATATAAACTTAAAAGAAAAAAAAACACACTAAATAAGATTACTTAAAAAACAATACACTTTATTCTTCAACCACAAGCCTTATTTTAATTATCTTCCAAGAGATATTTACCTCGTCTTTCCCTTCTTCTATCGATGTTTGCCGCACGTCTGGGTTTGGCTATCTGACCCACAACTTCTATGATACGGCGGGAATGTGAGGCCCTCCGCCTTCTATGGTGATCATCCTCATCCTCCTCCATTGCTAAGGCCTCATCTCCACCTCCACCTTCGTCAAGATTGACCAATTCTTCCTATTGTGCCAACAACCTTTTTTGATGTTCTTGCAACTGTTTATACACTTTCCTTGAAGAAGACATTGTAAAAACTCAAGATTTGAATATGATAAAGAAGGATTCTGAGCTAAAAAAAAAAGATTGAGTTTAGTGTGAGGATGGATGTAGGGATGTAGGGTTTATATGGACAAAAAAAGAAAGAATGAGGTTTTGGACAATGTCACGTGGCACTATGTGATTGGTTGAAAATCTTATCGAAATCTTGGCTAAATTATTGTAATAGGAAGTGACACGTGACGTGTCGGGATTGGTTGAAAATCTTATCAGAAATCTATCCACAAAATAGTACGTTTGGATAATGACACGTGGCGTAACAAGATTGGTTGAAAATCTTATCGAAATCTTGCCTAAATTATTGTAAACAAGAAGTGACACGTGGCTTGCTGGGATTGGTTGAAAATCTTAGTGGAAATCTATTCACAAAATAGTACATTCGAATAATGACACGTGACGTGACGAGATTGGTTAAAAATTCTATCCGAAATTACAACTATTTTTTTAATTTATTATTTTATAAAAAAATTATTAGTATTTTAAATGGACTGGGTGCCAGCGTATTTTGTAGGGGTGGAGATCGTTTGTGCCAGCGTATTTTTAGACTGGATGCCAACACATTTTTTTAGGAGTTTAGATGCTTTGGACTATCACTATTCATTAGGGTCTATTACTGTTCACTGAGTGGATAAATGGGCTGAGTGCTGGCGCAAAGTCTTTAGGGGTGGAATTGCTCTTAGGATTTCAAATCTTTTTCCATCTGGGCAGTCCTCAAATCTCTACCAATCCCAACCACACGCAGGTAACCACCATATACTTTGGTGGAATCTCTTATTATGACCCAGGCATGAAGCTCACGTTGGAATCATGAAGCTCATGTTGTAGTAACAGTAAGAAGACCGAAGATATTACCGCTTTCATCAACTGTCTCACTTCTGACCCAGAGAGCTTGGTACCAAGTTTTGGAAGGCCAGCTTTTAACTCTTCATATGTAATTGTTCCACTGTTATCTGTGTCCATGGATTTGAACATTTCTTTCGAGCCTATGATTTCTTCTTCAGAAAGATTTTCTGCAATTACCTGCAAGAAAGAAATAAAGCACAACTTTATTAAATGTTTGGTCATGAAACAAGCATGCATGAGGATACTGATGACAAATTTCTAGTCTCATGACATGGGCTGGACCAGCAGCATCCCCAATCCCAGGATTCATTTCCACCAGCCTCATTCCAGTGCACAAAGAAGGATGCTAACGATGTTGATAAAAGATGCTCTTACCTTCAATGCTACTTTCTTAAGTTTGTTCATTGCCCTAAACTATTTCATTCTACATAGAACGGCAATATCAAGAGGTTTATCAGCTGCATCACCATCTTCTCGCATCCATGGATGCCCTACATTGTGTTTTGAGTGGTTCAGAAACTGTACCTAAGAAAAAGCCTCAACGCATGGAGGATGTTTAAAACAGGAAGCACGAAAATCTAATGGTAGGAACTAGCAAAGATAATAATGAAACTACACCTAACTATTCAGAATAATTACTCAACACCATATCCATTGAGCTTCTTCGTACTGTTCTCTTGATCCTCCACTACTGCTGATAAACCATATGCACTACCCAGTCCGCTTAGATGGAATTGTACCAGGAGCATTCTCCATAACATTCACCCTTTAATTTGTTAACATGATGCCAACAAGGAGATGATACTATGTCTTCATTCCTCGAGCACGATCACAACTAGCCGTTAAGTAATTAGGCATGTATATATGATCATTGAAGGACATGATCGATCTAGGATACCTCTCATCATTCTGATTTTTTAATGTACGTGTTACTACAAACATTACTGAAGTACCACATCGTACGTCTATGGTAAAAGGGCAGTTGGTGGTGATGGTTGTTGGTGGTGTAGTGCTTAAGAGCTCACCAAAGTTATGTTGAACTATCAATTGAGAAAGAGATGAAGGCGTGGTTGTGTGAAAGGAGACCCGAAAAGAGAGGGGATAAAGTGGCTATCGAGTATAGTAGGGCAAGTGGAAAGATTTTTTTTTTTTTTTCAATAAAAAAATTATATGAAAATCCACCACAATCCACCAAAATCAACAAACTAAATCCATTCATCTTCTTTAAAATCCATATGAATTTTGTAGGAGTCTTATCTTATTAAATCCTATCAAATCTAGCACTTTTAAAATCCCTTAAAATCTTAATTTGACTACACCTTATAGATCCCTAATTTGTTTGATTAGCCTGGGAAAAAGATGATTAGTTTATCATTAGTGCTAAAATAGCGAGTTATTTTCAAGGGGTTTCTTTTTCTAAGGAATTATGACTACCAACCTTCACCCTTTCATTTTTTTTCTTGGATTTGATGCGCCCTTGTACTATTGTCCTTCTCCTGCACACACAGAGAAAAGGGTGTCACACTCACACACACAGAAGAGAGAGAGAGAGAGAGTGGAGAGAGAGGGAGGAGAGAGATAGGGCAGCTCTCTCAGGCTGTCAATCAAATCTCGCGTACAGAAGAAGATCCTCATCTCCTGCTGGTTCATGCTTCTCCTCCTCATGATTTCTGGGCCTGCCGGCACACCACCACTTTCGTAAATAAGTAAAATTCGATTCCTTTTTCATCACTTTCTCGAGAAAATTTCTTTCCTCTCTTGTTTTCTTGGGAAATTTACCTCTGTCTCATTACACTTTCATTTGCTTTTGTACCTTCAAGATGTTTCTGGGTTGTTTAGATTTCTGGGTTATGCTTTAATTCTGGAAAATCCTTCATATTTCTAACTTTTGGAAGCTCAATTTTTTTCAGTTTCTCACCAACTTGGATATATACATATATATATATGTATATATTGCTATTTTAGAGTGTGGGAATTACTGATTGTTTTTTGTTTTTCTGCAAAGACTTAGAATCAATACAAAGTTGTTTTCTGCAAGGAAAGTTTTGCATCTGTTTTCATTGTCTAATTTTGTTTTTTTAATTTAATTTAAATATTTGTTGTTTTCTGCAAGGAAAGTTTTGCATCAGCTTTCATTGACTAATTTTGTTTTTTTAATTTAATTTAAATATTTGTTGTTTATCTTGTGAAATACTCTTCTTTGGCATTGACTGGGTTTCTGGGGTCTTTGGTGGTTGAGATTCTTTTCCAATTAGAAATTAGAAACCAATACTTTGATTTGGTTAGTTCAGAAAACACAGAAGGAAAAAGGGTTTCTTTACTAGTTAAAAGGTATATGCTTTTAGGTCATAAAAGTCCCATGTCTGATTTTTCTTTTCCTACTATGTGAATTCCCTCCCTGTGGATGTGCAGACATATCCTTATCCTTGTGTTTGGTTCCCAAGAAGATAAAGGAAGAATAGAAAAGAACAGAAAATTTCAACTCAATTTTGGTAAAACTAAAAGGTAGTTGAGTTGTTAATTGGGCTTGAAACTTTGTTTTCTTCCTTACCCTACAAATTTCGTGCTAATCAGTCGATTTTTCATTTCGTTCATGTGGAAATTGTTTGCAGATGCGATGAATTAATTTAACATTCTGTAAAATTTGTTTCTTGTTTTGTTAATTTTGATCATAAATACTGTTTCTGATGCAGGGCAAGGATTGTTTTTGGTTGAAGCCAAATTGAAATGGAAGGTGGTATGTTTACAGGTATAGGAAATGGAACACAACTAGATACCAAAGTTGTGCAGACATTCCAGAAGAGCTTTGTGCAGGTGCAAGACATTTTGGATCAGAACCGGTTGCTAATTAACGAGATTAACCAAAACCACGAGTCGAAGATCCCTGATAACCTCAGCCGGAATGTTGGCTTAATTAGAGAGCTTAACAACAACATTAGAAGGGTGGTAGATCTATATGCTGATCTCTCCGGCTCTTTTTCCATGTCAATGGAAGCTTCCTCAGAAGCTGAATCAGGTGGGACTTTGAAATCTGATGGGAAATCGAGCGAGAAGAGAATTAGATCCGGGTAATTGTTCAGAATTTGGTTGTGTTATAATTATAGATCATGCACTCTTCATTACTGAATAAGAATAAGTTTGTGATAGCAGAATAACTTGATGAGATTGTGTTGCTCATGTGTTTCAATGATATCTATTTGAGTCTTTTGCAACACAAACTTTTCATGAAATATCGGTATAAGAAAAGAGCCCAGTATTCTTCAATTTCTGACACTGGATCCGCTATATCTGTATCATATAAAAATCTTTTAGCTTTTGGCTGGAAAGTCCGTTGAATGCATTGCTTTTTGATCCAAATTAGGAGGAAGCAGAAGAATAAGTATGAATTTAGAAGGAAAAGAGAGCGTTGGATGCATTATTTTATTGACTCATGTGCATTCTTGTTGTGATATTAACAAATCTAACCAAGCTTGTTCACTAAAATGCTAACAGTTTGAAATTTTCTGTTCATTGATCATATCTTTTTATTCTAGACTATCAAGCCTAGACGACATTTGATTTGGTTTTTATCGTTTCTTGATGGTTTTCGTAATCATTTTCGGATATATTATCTGTTTGTTGTGGGGAACTTTCGATTACCAGCTTTATTCTTTTCCCATGTTTGTCCAAAAGATATCTTGTGGTGTCCCCTCCCTAGTTAAGGATAACAATGGAGGTTTGGTATATACTGTTAGCAAACTTAGCATGTTTAGAGAAGTTTCATGTTTAAAATTCCTTGAACTTGTTTACATAGTGAGTATGCTTTTGGGACAAATAGGAGAAAGCAGTCCTGGAATTTTACTTTTGTTGATTAGTTTCATACGAAAGCACTTCAAGGGACAGAATGATGATCAAACAGTAGAAATGTAGGGCCCAATTGTTCATTCTTTTTTAGTGGTGGAATGGAACTGGCTTGAACTTTGATTGGCTACTTTTTGCTTAGATTATCTCTTTCTAATTGATTCCCTTATTCTTTTTAAGGTTTTTACTTTGTATTTGTTCCTTTTAAATATTGGGAAATGATTCCCGCACACCCGTTTTTATTCTTCTACACACCTCTGTTTTTTTGGTATCCTTGGCCTCTTGTTGGATTTATGCTTTCTAAATGCTAGAAATAAATAAGAATGCGCATTGGGAGAATGGGGTCTGCCGAAAATACTTCTCCAAATCTCTCTCTCTTCTCTCTCGAAGGGAGAAAATCTTACGAATAATGAGGACGTCAAGGTGTCGTTGTTCCAAATCAATCACGCGGTGCCATGCAAGACATCTACAGCACATGGTGACAAGGATGATATTGGACATCGCTAACTTAGCGTCTTCATTATTGAAAGTCTCTCTCATGTGGAAGGCCTGTGTGGATAATTGCATAAGGGTAATGCTAGGGACGTTGCTAAACGCAAATTTCTATACCAAAATTTCTAAACCACATGACATGGATATTGATAATAAAATTATTATTGAAGTGTTGATTATTGTGCTTATTTTCTATTATGACACATCATATAGTTTGTGGTATCGCGAACATTATCCATTGCATTTTAATGAAGTTTTTGCCTTTTTGGCATAGTTTCTGAACAACTTTTGGCATTGGTGTAAGCATTAAACGGAAGTAATGCAAATATCTGATTTTTCCGAAAGAGTTTGTAGTTATGATGTGTCTTTTGACATGAATGGCATTGTTGAGGAAGATGCGTGTGGGGTCCATATAACTTAAGGGAAAAGTTTTAAAGGTCCCCAAATAACTTAAAACTTTTGAGTTCCTCATTGCAATCCAATCAAACTGCAACAGCACAAAGACCCCATGTGGTTCAATTAGTACTAAGCATGTGCTTGAGACAGCAATAATATCTTCTAAGTTTGTAATCTCGTTCTCCAATAACATCGTCAAGTAAAAAGTTGTACCCTCCAAATTGAAGTGTTTTGGAATTTTTTTTTTTAATTCTTACCTATTTGAAATTTGAACTCAAAGAGTATAGTAAAAATTAAGTGTTCGTTTGATGGTCTTTTCGTTTTTAGTTTTTATTTTTACTTTTTTGTGCTTGATATATGAGGAAAGTATATGAGTCAAGGGAAGATAAAGAATGGTGATGGGAGTTGGAAATAAATGAGGAAGAAAGAATGAAAACATCTTAAAAAATAAGAGTCCGTTTGGTATTCTACCAAAAAACATTGATCGTTCCTAAAAATAATTTTTCAAATAATGTCACTTAAAAACAGTTTTCTTTTAAATCTTAAAATTTTAAAAATCTGAATTTTAAAAAATAATTTTTTTAGTTTGAATTCAAACTTTCTTGAGCAAAAATTGGAGGAGAGAGCGAATTAGGAAAGAGAAAAGAGAGGAAATAGTTGGTGAGAAGAGAGAAAGACAGGAAGAGGGCGAGGAGATGAGGGAGACTGGGAGAGAGCAAAAAATTACGATGAGAAGGTGATGAGTGAGAAGAAAGAGAGGATGACGGGAGAGAGAGAGAAGACAAAGGCTAAGCAGAAAGAGAAGACAGGGTGTGAAGTGGGGAGAGAAGAAATAGAGGGTTGGGAGAGAAAAACTCTAAAAACTTTTTAATGTTTTTAAGAAATAGTCTATGTTTTCAAATTAGTTTTGAATTCAATTTTTAAAAAGAGTCATACCAAACAAGAATTCAAATCCTAAAACTCAAAATGTATTTTTGAGTTAAAAAAGTTGAACTCAAGTAGGATACCAAACAATTTATTTTTGTTTTAGTTTTCATTGTGTGCATTTTCTTGCATTCCACCGCTTGTCTCCTCTATATATCACTTGTCTTATATATCTCTCTCGCCGGTCTTCATCTAGTCTTATATATCACTTGTCTCCTCTATGTATTTTCCATCCATCACGAACACAGAAAGTGAATATAAAAAACAAAAAAAAACAAAATTGTTATCCAACCGATACTAAATTTTTGGGAATCTTAGGGGATGATTTCATACCCATTCTCTGTTACCTGTATTGCCGACCTTCCTATTCCTAATTTCAATTTTCAGGTAAACTAGCCATCAAAGCGGTGCTCGGACAGTCACGTAGTGTATGACTTTCCCTCGTTGTTTTGTTTCTACATTGAATCAACGATTGAAAGTTATTCATCAGTGTCATAATGCATCAATGGTTAAAAGTTAGCTCGTAAGAGCATCTCTAATGAGAGGCTTTATATGAAGCTGGAAAAGTGGTATATGTAGTCCATTTTAGAGATCCGATAAATTTTTGAGGCTTTATAAAAGAATCCCTCTCTCAATGAGGGACTATTTCTTCCGGACTCTATATGGGGCTATATATATTTATTTATATAGTAATTGATTATGTGATGATTTATTTTTTTGTATTAACTTTTCTTATGTTGATTTTTGGACGTGTTATCTTAAAAAAAAAATTATGAACCTTTTAACCTAAAAAGGTTCAAATTATGAAAAAGTTAGATTTGATCACTTGAATGTCCGGTGAACCTTTTAACCCACCAACGTCTGGTGAATGTTAAATCAATTTGAAATTTTAATTCTTATGGAATTTAAAACAATTATAAATTAGCCAAATTGCAAGAAAATGTGTAAGAAAAAAGAATAAAAAGAGAGTATAATGTATTTGCAAGTGGGGAGAGAGTGATAGAATTTAGCTTACATGGGTTGCTACTTTTTTGGTGAGACCCATTATTTTTTGGGGCTAGATGTAGCCTAATTTTATGTAGATTATCCTAATTTATTTTTATGAACATAATATAAAAATATTTAAATTTCAATAAGTAATTAAAAATCATACAAATACATAGGTATTTATAAAGTTTTAAGTTATATTTGATTTAAATAATTTTCTTAAATTATTTTAGACTTTAGATTTAATTTTGGGCAGTCAATTTTTTTTTTTTTTTTTTACCATTAGATTTGATCTCATTTGATCATAGCCGTTAGATTATGAGTAAAAAAAAAAAAAAAGTTGAAATATGACAGTTTGGTGGGTCTAGAATGATTTAAGCCAGACTTAAATCTTGGGAGGAATCTAGTCCAGAGATATATTTTTTCCTCAAGGCTTATTTAGCCCAATGCTTGGAGATGGTTTAGGAGAGTTTTAAAGCTTATATTTTAAGCTTTATCCAATGGGTTGGAGATGGTCTAAGAAAGAAGTTGTTAGCCCAAGTAGTGTATCTGGTCCCATTTTCCAGCTTATTAATGATGAAACTTCTCACTCAGGTTGGAAATGTAGTAGTCTCATGAAGGATAAAGCCACATTGGGGATGCTTTAAGCCTAACATGCATAAAATTCTTGGAAGTCGGGGCAGATTGTCCCCATAATTTTTCTTGACAACATTCTACCCTCGTCACACATGGACCCCACATTATGCATATGCAAACAAAGTCTGTGCGTGTGTTCATAAGGCCATCTTCAACCGAAATGGCTAAATATATCCCCGCCCAAAATTATAGTCCCGCAAATAATTATTTAAAATGAACAGTGTTAAGCCATACTTATATATTGTCTCCAACCGAATGGGCTAAACATAACCCTTTCAATAATTTATTAGCTTGAGTTTATACTCTAAATTTATTAGTTAATTTAATTAAACTACCATTGGATGTTTTCAAATCTAGCATTTGAATTTGAATCAATTATTGCAAATACGAAGTTGGCCCCAAAAAAAGGCTAAGAGGAAGGCTACATTTGGCCAGCCTGATGCCCTTTTGGCCAAATAATGGTCTAATAAGCTCCATAGAATTATAGCCCGGCCATTGGTTAGAAGTAAGTTTTTGGACAAATCAAGTAATTTTTTGGATTTTGGACCTTTAGCCATCTCCATTGGAGATGACCTAAGGACAACTCCAACCGAACCGAAGGGGTTATCCAAATTATAGCCTTGCAAGAAATTATTTTTTAATGAAAAGTGTCATACCGTATTTATTATTTTAAGTTTGTTCTTTAATTTTATTGGTTAATTGAATTAAACTACCATATTAAAATAAGATTCAAACATATTTTGAGTACCACTTGTCACTAAATGAATAAGCCTCCGAACAAAGAGTGCATTTTAGCTCACCACCATTTAGTATGGTGTATGCTCACCATCCTATTTATCACTATTAGATGAGTTTGAATTTTGAGATTTGTTCATATCCACTACACGAATCTCGAAATTGAAACTCATCTAACGGTTATAAATAGAGTGGTGAGGATACACCACACTAAATGGTGGTGAGCAAAAATACTCACCAAATTTGAGTGCCAC